TAAATGTAGCTCATTTTTATTGAATCAAATTTATAATTGTAAATAGCAGTACATTTGTATCATCTACTCCTGAAAATAAATGTATTCCTTTTAAAGGAATTTGATTTTTGTGCTAAAAAATAGGATAAGTCTCAGGATCATCTCAGCAGGGTACATTGCGATCGTATGAGCCTGCGTGAATCATGGGAGAAATTTAACATGCATGTCCAGACTGACAGTCAGAAATCAAGGATCAAATTTAATTAGTAATCAGTCCTACACTTTCCCCAAGTTAAGATCATTCAATCATTTTTCTGAGTTGCTCTTCTTCTTAACTGATTTTTTTCAACATAAATAGAAATTGTGACATTTCTTTAACAAAAAGTAATAATTTACTTTTTAAAGTAAGCACATGTTACAACTTAGTTGTTTAAAAATATGATTAAAGTCAATATTAACTTATTTTGTCAGGTTTTCAGTATCACTTCTGAAAACACTTGTTTAAGTCATCATAAATAAAAATTGGATTTCAGAAATAAATACCCTTTACCCTTGTGTGTACAATATAAAAACATATTTCTAGTAAGTCTGCAAAATGCTCATACAAGCTGTGATTTCGTTAGAACAAAATGGTGAAAACTTTAATGCAAAACATAATTTCGGTACACTTTGAGCGTGAGTGGGTTTGTCTGGTAGCATCAGAACAGAGACGGATCGATAACTCTGTCTGCATCCATCAGTCTGAGACGTTGGAGAGCAGAATAAGATTAAACATGATTTTATTATGCAGCACACTCAGATGTGTCCTCACCCACAGAGGGACATTACATTAGGCTGAGTGGATACTGTAAGGAGCACTAAGCAGCACTTGAACTTGACTGTTTATTTTAAACAGCTTCTTTTATCAATGTCAGATTATAATATAATGGCTATTAATCACAGATTACATGTGAGTTTGAATGAAATTTTGATTCGTAAAATGTAAAAACAAAATGCAGTTTTGATAAAAAATAGACTGAGAATTAAAGCTTTAATAGTGGTAATCAATGTTCATATTTATGTCTGGTGACAAATAAAACAAATAATCTGCTATATCAAAATATATCTCATCACGTAAAATGATTATATCATTAAAGACATACACATAAGTTTCTCCAAAGTAATCTACACATTTTAGCTCATTAAAAACAATCCAGATAATGGTGAGCAAATGTACTCCATGCCTAATTTTGAATGATTTAATTGTCAGGTTATTGTAACACTTTAATAAATATTAAGTTGGATTATTGCTTTATATAATGTCTCCCCCCACGTCTTTAACATTGAATTGTATAACCACATTATTGTCACATGGGTCTGTTTAAAACAGCATGCAATCACAATTTTCTAACAGATCAGCTGAGCCAGTTGATAACTCTGTAATGGATATTTTTAGGTTACTGTAAGCATGAGCTTCACCGAGCAGCAAGACGCTCACTTTGTCAGATAGCAGCTGAATTCTTTAACAATGTGAAACCTAAGACGACTTCGGTCCCGCTGGTGAACCTTTCTGGTGTTGACATTTTAACTTTGCTTGATGTATTTATTACACAAAGACAAAAATATTAGAAGGATGCAATGGTAACGGCTCTTGTAACCACAGTCCTCTGCAGTTAGAGGTAATCTTCAGACGACTACTGATCATGCTTCCAGTGTAAATGTGCTCGAGTTGAAACACTTCGAGCACCGACGGGTCAGACGTCAATCCCTCTGAGAATTCCTCAACTCATCTACTTCTGCCCCAATATGCTCTTTCTGCTTTAGCTCTTAAAGTGGGCTGACAAATCAACCTTTATGTCTAAAACTGCAGCTGCTTTGAAGAATAGGATTGCTTGGACAAGATGCATTACTTCATCCTTTCATCCATGACTGTCTCCAACAGACTGGACCAGTTGTCCTTCCCTCACACAATATTCACTACTAAACTCTTTGCCTAAACCAAATCTACCAGAGGTGCTTTATGACAAAAATAAACCAGTGTCAAAATGTCCAGTTCAGACATTACACACACATCATTTCTAATGTCCGGTATCAAATTCGGCATCACTGCGTGTGTTGACAAACACTTTATTACCGCGTCAAATGGTGCACGGCTTTTTCCACTGAAATCTCAAGGCTAGAGGAGACAACAGGTGCGCCGAGGCTTTCCTTTCATATTCATTACACTGCAAAATGATGCACTGGCTATATTTATGGTCTGATATCAGCTCCTTAAGCTAGATTTTACATGCCGAGAAGTGCCACGGAGTGCCATGACTTATTCCCACTGGGAGGTTGAGTAGTTGGGACTAAAGGCTTTCTTAGCTACGCAGCTTTGTTCAAATCCATTTTTAGCAGGTTAAACTGAACATACAGACAGGTAGACGAGTCAATGTAAAGCTAAAAGGGAAGTGTTGATGTGTTTTTATTTTAAACAAATAATTAGAAAATACTTTACACAACATGACTCAAGACTTGATCACTGGGGAAAATTACTTTTGGTATCATATTGCTCAGACACTCTGGATCTCCATCTTTTTGAGTGGCATCATAGGTTTTATTTTTCTGTAGTAAGCTCTATGGCAAACATATGATTTAAAATATGCTAATGAACACATTATCTTCACAGTCAAACATAACAGTGGTAGGCATTCATGCTCCAAGTAGCTTTCTCTGGGTCACTGTGACAAAACCGCTGATAATCTTGGTATACCTTCGGTACATTTGGAGGGATTGGGCCTTAACCCATCCTCTCTGTCATCATAAAACAGCAAAAGAATGATGGTGTGAGAAGAGGGGAAGAAAAGTAAGAGATGAAGGCAGAAGGAGGGGGGGGGGGGGGGGGCAGAGAGGGAAGTTGGAGCCAAGCAAGTTAAAAACTTATTTTTAGGATGATGTTTATTTGGAGGTCTGTGAAACCAACCCGGGGTGCATATACCAGCCTCTCTCTGCTGCCATCTGTTAGAGTTTCTCAGGCTGTCACTTCTGAGGGGGTGGGGGGGTTCTGTCAGTTTGCACAGACAGAAAAGTTTTGCAGAATAACTGTAGCTTGTGAAATGTTAATATACGCAAGATTATAATGGCACTGAGGAAATAAGTTTGTGAAAGCTGCAGTCATCATGTGACAGGAAGCATAAAAACATTCACGTAGCCTCACATCAAAATCCAGAACCTTTTCTAGATGTGTCTTTCTAGTCAGGAAAATGAATGTTACAAAGATATCTGAACTACAATAGATGTAGCTGGAAATTACACTTTTAAGGTTAGGGATAAATTCAGTAATGTGATTTAAACCTTTAACAAGAGTTGTTAGTTGTACTTTATATATTTGATAACTGTGTAATTTGTTTAAAAAAAATATTAGCACTAATGCAGTATCATAATTTTTATCAACACTAGTTTGTTGTCAAACTGAAAGGTTCCAAATGACATTTTTGGCAAAAAAAAAAAAAAAGGAAAGAAAGAGTGAAAAAAATACAAATATAATTAAATAAATATTAATAATTTAAAAAAAAAAAAACATAAAACAAATGTTCTTTTTAGACCTACATACTAATCTGAGTTTGCAAAAATTAATTATCTGAACATATACTGAGTGGCCTCTACTAAATCCAATCAGCAATTTCTCACATGATTTAGGATTTATACGTGTCCTGGTATACTTTTACCATTAAGGTCATAATTTAGTATAAAATTCAACATTAATTTCAAAGCCAGATTAGCAGAGAAATTGTGAGGAAAAACAGAAAAAAAGTATTTAGAGCATGTTTAAATGTGTAGCTTAATGCTGTTTAATGCTTTAGAATTTGTACATGTTGTAATCACAAATTGAGAAAATTGTTCCACAGATTTTGTTAACAAATACTGTTAAAATGTTTATTTTGTGGCAAAGGACAAACGTCCTTTGTAACTTTTTGGCTTGGTCATAAACTTTGATGTTCATTTAACCCTGTAATCTACACTTTACATCGATTAAAAATAAGTTTGTAAACAGCTAATCCTAACAATAGCTATTCTTGAACTATGATTGATGATTTACCGAAAAGCTATTTCTAGCTTGGACTCCAGGAACTTTAGGGCCACATGAAGACAGAGGTCCCTCCCACGAACATTTTTCAACATGGCAGCTAGCAGGTAGCAGCTAGCAACACCAACTTAGTGTAACTCAATTTATACGCTTATAAACCAAAAAACAACTAATACGATATATTTCTTGGCCCTCAAGACACATTAGTAAATATTTTGTGCATTGAATAACGATTAAAAAATCAAAGCGTACCAGCCTTTTCTGTTGTTTTTGTCTCGTTTGCCGTCTCTCTCCGTTGACCGTGAGCTAATTTAACGCACCTTTTAGGCTAGCCCTCAATAAAGCCCGCGTGTTGCCATAGCAACGGGTGCCCTCCCTCACGAGTTAGCTCTGTAGTTAGCACCAGTATCAGGGTGAAAGTTTATAAATATTAAAATTTTAAGTTTTTTTGTTCATTTAGTTTTATTGAGTGTTATATAATGAGGTGGCATATTTATCTTTGCTTTCCAAAAGTAGGCTACGCAAACAACCACTTATTATTATTATTTTATTTTTTTTACCAAGATATTTGTAGCTTATTTTTCTCATTCGCTGGAATGGAACAAGTTCATTTTAAAAGTTTATAAACTTTAGTGCAACTTTTAGGCTAAGACCTAAATGTCAGAAAAAGAATGGGGAGGGTGGTATTATATTTAGTCTGCAAGGCAATCAGGGGGTAACTGAAAGACAACACTGAGAAAGTTCCACGGCCTAAAATATCTGCCCACACAGCTCCCAGCAGGACTGAAGGGCCAGGTGTGAGGACAGCCAAGACACAGATGCCTGGTTTCTTATTGGGTTGTTAAAGAATTTAGTTAAGTGCTTCAGGAAACGGCTACGTTCATTTATGTTAAAATACACCGAAAAGCTGTTCAGTGGTAAGTGCTTTAGCAGATGAGTACAGCCTGCTGCCCAGACCCTCCACATCTAAACCTACCTTCCTCTGCTGCTTCTCCCAGGCAGGGTCCAGCAGCAGGTCCCTGTCCCAGTCGTCCTCCTGGGTCATGTACGCCTCTTCATGTTGGATCGTATAGGAGTTGCTATACGTCATTTGGGTTTCAACCGCTGTCATGGTTCCGCCTCTGTCAGGACTTCACAAGTCCCCCTGAGCTTATAGTGAAAAAGTAAAATCAACAAGAGACGTGAGGGCTAGAACCTCCTTGAGACGAGGGGGAGAGACAGTCGGGGGCTGCAGAGACCAGACTCCACTGGTGAGAGGTGGCTGTGCGGAGGTGGTGCTCCCACTAACAGAAGACCCTGCTGGCCGGTGCTCCTTTCCTGGTCAAAAGTGGCACACGTGACAGCACCCCAATAAGTATGAGAACCTACAGCTAGAGTGTCAGGTTCTGTGCCTAAAAAGGTCTAAAGGGCGGGCGCAGTCCAGCGCCAGCAGGGATAACTGGCCAGTGAGTGGCGTGGCCATGTGTCAATTACACTTCCTCTCACCACAGAGGAGTTTATGGCCCATGTAATGCACCTGTTGCTGTTAGTGATCCTCAATGGCAAAGACAAGGCCTCTTTAACCTCAGGCAACATCTTCTAATAAAATAGAATTGAATAACTGTATTTAAAATTAGGAAAATATTAAGAAAGTATCCAAAGACCATTGTCATGAACAGGTTCCCCCTCTGAACAACACAAGGCAAATTGGTTCTTGGACTGTTATGTACTGTATACCACTGACATCAGCTCAACATTATCTTCTTTCACACAATGCATAGTTTTTATTACATTAAGCTTACACCTTATGTGAAACGGTAGCAACAAATTTCTTCATCCGTCCCCTTTTCTTTACCCGTTTATCCATGCAGGGTCATGAGGAGCAAGTGCCTGTGTCTAGTGGTCATTGAGAGGGACCCGGCAGGTTTCCAGGCCATCACAGACCCACAAATTCCCTAAAATGCGAGCACTCAGTTGAAATGAAAAATACTGACACAATTATACGAAAAAAGGAAATTTATTCATGATTTGCATGCAGACTGAAAAAGAATGCCTCAACATTTTTAAAAATACAGGTTTAAAGGCATATAAATGCATACACAAACGTACAATATAACTCGTGTCTGTTTAAGTATTTGTCATTCACAGTAAACACATCTGATCTAACATTCAGCAATTTAAATCTCACATTCAGTTCTGTGCTGGAACTAATTTATCTGAAATAAGCAGGTCCAGATAGATATTCTCTTGAGACAGCCAGTTACGAAGCAGACAGCCACATCTTTGGAATCTAGACGGATTCATACTGAAATTAATCTGAAATTTGATGCAACTACACTATGATTGGTCCATTAGCCAATCATAAGATGAAGATGCTTAAGCTACTAACTATTTGTGGTTACATTATTGTGTCGTATGATTCGAGAAAAAAAAATTGAAATGTCTGATCTAACCGCTTTAAGTGTTGAAATAAATTGCGCTAACACTTCAGTGTTTCTCAGCTTTACCTGAACATTGTAAGGTGAATCGAAATGTAAATAATCTATGGGCGTAGTCATGTAAATTTCACACTTTCTAGACAAGATCACACCCATTCTAGAAAAGCCACATTAATAAAACCTTGTGAACTTTTACCTGTAATTACAAAGGGAATATGGTCTATATGGGTGGTGCTTGCACATACTTGGACATCTCAGATGATATCTGCTACTGAAGAACAATGAAACCTTCAGGATCCCATTCAGTCTTTGAATAAACACGTGCATTATCTGCATATGTCCATTCTTCAGCTAAAACAACAAAAGATATAAGGGGTACAGGAGTTTGGATGAACAAGTGAAAGAACGACAGGAGACTGCAGCGAGCTTTGGCCGGCAATACAAGTGCGACTGTGATTTCGGAGGCAGGGGTTTTAAAAATGTGCGGCTGCATTTACCCAAGCACAGAAGCCCAGACTCACAAGCAACCAGAAATAAGCTTTTAGTGAGGAGTTAGGAGAGTGAAGAGGATGAGGTGCTGGAGGAAAAAATTGAAATGCAATGTGCCCTGATCATGGAGGCTGGGAAGAGTCAGTCATTTTGCCTACATGTCAGAGGTGGCATGTACCAGGCCAGGTCTGTGTATACCTTTGTAACTACATGCAGATAAGTGCTATAAAATTTTCAGTCTATTGATTGATGTTGCTTAGAAAATGTGGCTTAAGTTCCCAAAGACTTTGAGTGTTTATTTTCAGTTGATATTTGCACTGAAGGTGATGGCTCAGAACTTCGGAAGTGGGGTTTTATGCACTGCTTGAAATGGGGAAAAGAATGCAGTAACCTTATTGGAAGTTTTCCTAAAACACATCAGGATTTCACTGACAAAGTAGAGAGTTTCTTCTAAAAGGAGGCCAGAGAGTTATGCTATATACCCAGATGTGTTGCTCCACTCTTGTTAAACATCCAGCTCTTGCAGGACTAAAACTTAATTCCCATCAGATATCAACAAATTTACTGTTTACTTCGTTAATGATCCTACATAACATAGTCTATATATTACGAGCCGCAGTACTGCAGATCAGATTCCTGACAGATTTACTCAGCTGTGCCTCCTATTGGCTCCTTGCCCTTGACTTTTCACCAATCATTGTTCCTCAAGAATCATGCATCCCTTCAGATTTCTGAAGCAGTCAGAACAGTGCAGAGCAAGTCGTGACTTCCTAATTACAATGAATGTGCAATGGATAACGCAGCTCATACGAATGAGCTGTTCCTTAAAGTTGCTCAAACCCGAACACAAATACATCATAGAAAACAGCATGCCAAGGACAAAAATTCAAAGTGCCAGTACTGGATACTAGAAAGTACTGGTCAGTTCGAGCACTGGTTCTACGGAAGAGTTATGAACAATTAACAACTTGCCTGTTGTGAATAGCTCTATGAACCCAGTCTGAAAAAATAGTGCTGACTGGATTGATAAGGTAAGAGCTACTCCCAAGAGAAGTCAAAATCAAAGTTGACCGTTTGGTGGGCAATATTTAATTGTGAAAGATTACAACTTGTCAATCTGTCAAATGAAAGAGAAAGTATTTATAGGGCCAATTAAGTATTACTGTAAATATGTCAACACATTTATACTTGGCACAAGTTTTCATCATTAAAATTATTTTATTGGTATTTGTCCTAATTGCTCTTGTGACATTAAGATAGAACTTTATTGATACCACATTCCTGCTGGAAGTACCCTAGGCAGCATCAGTGCTGCAGCTAGCTGCTGTAGCTATTAATGCTTAAAATAGCAATAACTTTATATGGAAATTACCACGTTGTGCAAAACTGACAGAAATGCAAATGTTTATGAAACTACATTCACATAAACTGCTATGAAATTCTTGACATTTAAGTTGTTTTTAACCCTGCTGACATTGGGTCAAAATCACCCATGAGGCCTCGTGGGTGATTGTGATGGCCTCAGCCATACATGGGGGTGGGGATGGGGGGGATCAGTCCACACACTAACGTCATTGGTTTATTTTGTTTGTAGTTGAACATGTGTTGTGGTAATGTAACTGAGTTGCTGTTGCTTAAATCTAGCAGTGGTGTTGGGAACCGCACTCATATTAGCACTGTGGTTTTTAAAAATGTATCCCAATCTATATTTTATGTTTCTCTTTTGTTGAGTTACCTGGTTTGGGGAGTTGGCTGCTTCCTGGTTGGCCAAGGGCTGAGGAGCACAATACCAGCTGAGCAAGACCAACCATGTACTTATCAGCACGGGGGTGTTATGGGTTTAGTTAGATCATTTGGTCCTCAGTTAGTAGTTTAGTTCCATTTCCCGTCATGTGAAAATGGTCTGACCATGTTACTATACTGTATGTTACCCTTCTTCATCTTTTGGGGGGGAGGTTAGTTTTGGTGAGTTAAAAGTGCGTACATATAGCTTGCTCATTTAAAATTTTTGTAAATCCCTTTTTGAGTAGAGTTTTATGTAGTTGACCTCTTTTATGGACCCATTAACTGTATTTTGGACTTCCAAGACCCACTTGGAAGACATTTTTCCTGTGTCCTCTATACCTTCATTGCTTGGTCCATCACAGTGATTTTAACCCAAGGGCAGCAGGAGGGTTAAAACAGCAGCAATACACTTTTGTCTTGACACCAATCTGTCTAGTCATTGACCCATTAATCTGGTCAACTTTAAACTACTTCTCCAAACTAAGGTACTTCAACAAGCTATCTATGACAGGTAATGTAATAAATATTTCCAACCTGTCCACATAAACCCACTTTAAAAGATCTGGACAATCTAAGTAAAGAACAATTAAATGTATGCAATATCTTGACACCTCAGAGAAAGATGTATTGTCGGAACACATGATCCTCCACGATCAGGGTGGGGTTAGGGTGTATGTAGCTTTATACCACAAATCATTGCACCAACAACTCACCTCATAATCAACCCTTCTACTCGTTCCTCACATTATTGTTTCATTTTACTTTGTTAGGCAGAAAAAGGACAAGGCCATCTCTGGTTCACTTCCGCCCTGAAGAAGCTATCAGAGCAAATGCCAGACAACTCAATACACTGAAAGCAAGTGGGTGAGGAACTGTGTGTAAAGATTGAGCCCTCTAACTCGGCACATGGGAAGACAAAAAAACAAATAGGTAAGAACACATAGAAGCTACTCAAGGATAGAATCTGTACCAGAAAATTCCTATAGGAATTCTGAGATTGATGAGAATCTGCAGGTCAAACTGGCCTCATACCATAAACATAGGCCTTTCCTATAGGACATTTCTGATTGGTGAACAAGCTAGGAGGGACCTACAGGCTACGAAACTATCGACATCTTTAGTTTGAGATCACGTCACATGTGATAAACTAGTTATTTTAGGAAACCGAATTTAAAATTCCCACAGCCATGTAGCGAAAACCCACCATTCAACAGTTTCAGCAAAAGTGATTTGTCCAACACTGAAGTCTCTTTTATACTGGTGTTAAAAGTCCAGAGGCGAGCCACCACACACACAGTTCCTTGGCACGCCCAGACCTCTATGGTAACTAAGGTGGATAGAGTCAGGTGGGTGGCTCTGAGAAGTTGAGTCCAAGCCAGAGCCACAAACCGAGATCCAAGGTGGAGGCGGTGGCGACGGGGGAAATAAAAAGCGCTGTGTGCATGAACGGCGGAGAAGAGATGCGCAAAGGGACAGCAGGGTGGGGGTTAAAGAGCGGGGAGAGGGGGGGGATGGTGAGAGGGCGGCGAAGACGGCGGTTAACAGAAGTGGACAAAGCGGGCAGGGAGTAAGGGTGGGGGTGTGCCCGCATTCACCAAGCCTTACTAAAAAAACAATATCCTCCATTTGTTTTAAGCACACACGAGCTTACCATGATACACCACACCATGTTTTCATCAGCTCAAACACCAAAAGGGAAACGGAGGGTACCATCCATCCTTTTGTATACTAAGGATCCGGATCAGCATCATGGAGGGGTCCTCACCCCACCCCGTCCCAGCCTGCCCATCACTCCCACCGAGGAGAACCCAAGGCTACGGGTACAAACACTGCCATTGCAGTAGAGAACGAGTTTACGGACTGGGTAGAGGAGAAGGTGGTGATGGCAGAGGGGGGGGGGAGGAGGAGGAGGAGCAGTGTTATCAAGGCACAGTCAAAGGAGAGGGGTGGGGAAGAGAGGTCAGTGCTTTTATGATCGTTTTTTTGATCGTTTTTGGTCGTTTACCTTGATGGTGAGGAGAGAGCGACAAGTTCCTGGTGCGGTGGTGTCGCGCTTAAAGTCGTCCCCATGGCTGCGCGTTGGCCATTCCAGGTAGCATGGTCACCTAATTCAGTTGAGATAGTTAGTTCAGAGCTGAACTGTCGAGTGTGGGGGAGGGGGCTTTTTATTGCGGAATTACATGTTATCGCGCATGCAGGTCTGAGAGTGAAGTGAACATAGACACACGAAAAGGGAGACTTTGGTGCAGCAGGGAGAGACCAGACCAGACCAGACGCACACCCATCAACCCCAGGAAAAAGGACTGCTCCACAGATCAAAACGCACCCAGGCCATTCCATCTGTGTGCCTCTCCCCAGCCCTCAACATAATTTTAGAATAGAGTTATTTGTAATATAAATTACGGATGGAAATCAATTTAAATTTTGGACTTTTTGCAGCAAACAAATGAAATGCTGCAGAAAAGTAAACCTGTTTTATTTATTCTTTTTGTTTGAGAGGCTGGAGAGAGGAAGGAGCTCCAACCCAAACTTACCCTGACCAAAGAGCAAAGCTGGGCCAGCATCTACACCTGTCTCCCCCTGGATCCCCAGTCAAGTGGGTCTGGTGGCCATTTTACACAAGAGAAACAGATGGTGAAGAAGAGCATCAACAAAAAGAAGGTGAAATGTCCAAACCCTTTGCTTTCTTGTACCACAGTAGTCAGCCAAACATTCTTTATTATAAGGTTTTATAGTTTACATAATCTCAGTAAAAAGCATGCTGATATACTTTTTTTACTTGTCTTTTCCCTCCACTCTTTTCTATAAAAAAAGGCTACATTAAAATACTTTTCTAAAAAATACATGGCAAACAAGACATTTCGCAAACCACATAATTCTACAAAGGATGCAACTGGTATGTGTTTGTATATACACACACGACACAGAAAGATTACACTGTGACATGCAAAGTCACTTAACCACTAAAAACCACTGGAGGAGGGAGTGGGAACGGGAAACAATGAGGCAGTCGGGTGAATTCAGAGGGTTTATCTTTGTGTGCATTTTACTGCTGACAAACTGTAATTGTAAAAAAAAAAGAAGAAAAAGTTAAAATAAATTGTTTTAAGTTATTTTAAAACTAGAAAATGGAGTTTGTTACTTGGGCCTGTATCTCATTGAGTTGCAACTTGTAGTGATGTACTGTGAGCAGCATTCGTGAATGGGTTTCCAAATGGTCACACAATGTTCGCATGGGATCTCGTGTCGCTGAAACTCGAAACAAAAACGGTTCTAAAAACTTGCAAACAAAATGTCAAAATAATTGTTGCAAATCTGAAACACCTTGTATTCTTTTCAGTTTAGTTTGTGACGCTGGTGAAGATTCTCAGTCATCCAGGACATGGTAAATTCAAAAAAGTTAAAGACAAAAAAAACCCAACAACTGGACTTTGTAACAGAAGACGTTTCGCTTCTCATCCGAGGAGCTTTTGCAATTCAAATAACAGAGTGTGTGGATCGAGCTATAAACCTGAGCTAAGCTAGATACATGTGCAGATTGCCCTATCAATCCTCACAATAGGGGTTCGTCAAGGTCTTTGTTAGTTTGATTTGCAGTGGAACCAGTCATTTCCCAGTCATTAGCTACGTATGTTTACATGGACATAACTAATCGTAATAAACGGCCATTCAGAAGAAGAATGTGTCATGTAAACGCCCTATTCGGATAATTTTTTGTTTATTCAGCTCGATCTGAATGAATTTGTAATCCGAATGAGAGGGGTGGTTTATGCAGATTCATAATCCGAACGGTGTGCATGTAAACACTTAATTAGATTTTATTCCGATTGTGGAAAACTGACCTGAATGAGCATGTGCAACCTATGTCCTCACGTATTTCTGTCTGGCTAGATGCTAATATGTCGGGGAAGTAAAACTTGTCAGTGAGCGACACAACATTTCTACTAGAAACTTTGAAAGAGCTCAAAATGATCTGTATTACCTGTAGCTCAATCAGGGAGTGCAGTAACGTCCCCACCATCATTAAAACCTGTCTCGGGTCCATTTTGGGTGCTCAGGTTTGTTTACGTTAATCACAGAAGTAGAACTTCTTCTTCTGTCGTTTTTTAAGGTGAGTTTACCACTCTGCGCATGTCAGTGCTTCTATTCTGAATACAAGCCCGCTGTATGTAAACGCTCGTCGTGAACGGACTGTGCCCATGTAAACGAAACATTTGGATTATTTTATTTGAATACATTTCAATCTGGTCAAAGAATCTTGCGCGTGTAAACATAGCTAGTTTCACATATATCAGGAATGTCATCCATGTCACCAGAGTGGCTCCACTGCAAATCAACCTAACAAAGATCCTAAAAAAACACTATTGTGAGGACGGATGGGGCAATCTGCACATGCATCTAGCTTACTCAGCTTTATAGCTTGAACCCCACACTCTGTTTTTTGAATTGAGAAAGCTCCTTGGACTAGAAGCGAAACATCTTCTGTTACAAATAAATTCCAGTTGTTTTTTGTCTTTAACTTTTTTTTTTTTTTTTTTAGTTTCTGACATTGGGAGGGTTTTGCGAAGTATGAAAACATATGATAGGAGAAAATAAAAGAGAATAAACCTTGTTCAAATTGAGATTTAGGAGGAGCAACGTAATCAAGGTCTCCTTGGTCTTCGTGACTAAAATGCAATAAAAAATTAAAAACTCCAGGTGAGTGTATCTTTTCTTGCAATTTTGTGTCTCCAACTAGTCGCCAGTTGTCACAGCTCATTGAGATACGAGCTTTAGGACTTTAGCATGGATGCGAAACACAACCCATGCAAGTCATTTTGTTGTTTCTTTAACTATAACAATTATCTAGATGTGATAAATCTCACCTATAAGCTTTACCAACTAAATAAAACGGATCCTAAAATACTTTGTAGTTGGAATCTAAACCACGTTTGTTAGTTAAAAAATAAAAATGTATTTTTTGGGGGGTAGGGGTGGGGTGGACACTGAAAGACACTGCTCCATCTCTCACTTCCATTGGTGCTATCGCTGTCATTTCTGCTTAAAAACCAAAGGCTCATTTCGAGCCCACAAGGCTCGAGTTTGTGGCTTTTGAACAACCATTTGATATAAAACAAATCTAATATAGGTGTGCAAGTCAAAGAGAAAGCTTCACCGCTTGTAGCTCTCTGGATGCTAAGCTCCACCTAAAAAAAAAAAGATTTAAAAGTCATGTCAAAAGCACTTAAAAATGGGAGTTTTCCCCACGTAATGCACTTCACTCAATGCGTATAGGCACGTAACTGACCTTATCACGTAAATTTATGATTTATAAAACAACTAATTCAGTAGTTACACATTTTATCCCAGGTAATGTATGTAAACAGTATTGATGCAAACAAAAGATATACACTATTTCTAGTTTTTTAAAAGGCCTCTGAACACTAAAATAGAATTTGGTACAGAAGAATTGATTGGAAAAGTAAAAAATAAAACGTCTATTTTCTTGCCTATTAAACAGCTGAAACCAAAGCTTCACAAAAACAAGACAGCCGACAGGATGAAATGTATTGAATAACACTGAACAAAATACAATCTATACTGAAATGTACACTAAGAGGTAGGCAGCTGTAAGTTAGAAAAAAAGAAAGAGGTGGAGAAGTGTCTTTCAGTGTTCTAGTTTAAAGGTAAGAGAAGGGATTCGAAGAACGGCCGAGAGATCCAAACAAAGGTTACAGTACGTATATATGTGCTTTACGTTTTTTTTCTTTCTTTCTTTTTTCTGCAAGGTGCAGTCTTTGCTCCAGCAGTTGTGCGTTGCAAGGTCAGGAGCCCGTACGTCTCCGCGTGTTCACACACACGCATCACATCCAAGACAAACATCCCGCAAAACACATTAACCTTGGTTCTGTAGGACACCATACAGTGCAGCCAGGACACATGTATTCGGACTTCCCATCTGATTAGGTTACAAACTCATCAACATAAGGCAAAAAAGGTTTTCAAATTAGCTGCCCAAACGGATCATCTAGGCCTCGGGAAAATGGCTGATGTGATTTACTAGAGATTTGGCCTTAGAAAACCATAACTGGGTTGCAGAACTAAAGGCATTTCAAATAACTGACTGGGTCAGCCCAATACTGGCACAAGTGTGAGACTGGCACAATGAAAAGGTAAAAGAAAGAAGCACAAAGAATGCCCATACAACAGATGAGAGCCTCCCTTTCAGGCTGCACTGCATGTGTGCAAAGTGGACCAAGGTTAGCTGATCCAAGTCCCTCGTGAAGCACATTGACAAACCAAAGGGCCCCCATTTAAAATGCCCAGCTTGCACACTTGAGAGTCCCCAGGAACACAAACACACACAAACATACATACAGCGGTGGTCAAGTTTGAGTGGAAAAAGGTATGTCAGGAGGGGTTCAGGGCAGAAAGGGAGAGGAAGGGGGCAGAGAGTTGAGTGCAACTATCGAAAGGGGGGATCAGGTGTGTGAAGGGAGAGTTCGGGGCGGTGGAGGATGGCCTCCTTGCGTGTGGGCGGCGGCAACGGCGGCTCATACACCCTGGGCGCAGCGATAGCGGCTGCCACTGCCGCAGCAGTGGGGACCACTGGCCTGAGCGCTTCCAACGTAGCAACCGGCTGGGCAGACAACGCAGGTACGCCGTGAACTGCTGGGACCATCGGCATTCCAGCAATGGCTGTCACTGTGCTCTGTGGGTAGGCATACTGGAACTGGGAGTACTGCTGCAGCTGCTGGTAGTACTCCGCGTAGTATCTAAAGTGGAAAAGAGTAAGGTGGGAAATAAATAATAAAGTTCAGGAATGTATAAAACCCTAACAATAATTTAAATGTTAGGAGAAAAACCACCCAACAGGTGTTAAAACAGACTGATGTTTGAATGGTCCTACCTAACCAGTGAACAATCATGTCTTACCTAGCCATGGGGTCCTCTGCAACTTCTACAGCCTCTTCAGCTGCACGGCCAGCAGGTGTGGGGAGCAGGGGCCTGCGTGGTTTGGCCCTCTGGTATATAAATGGCTTCATCACAGGGTCTGGTAGTAAAGGCGCTGACCTCCGTAGGGGACTGCGGTCCCTCTCACCAGACTTTGCCACTGCTACTGCTGCGGCTGCAGCAGCAGACTGCTGCTCGGCCACAACATGCTGCCCTTGGGCAAAGTAATGAACCTGCCTGGCTGCCTCGAAGAGGGCTGCAGTAGGGTCTGCTGCTCCCATGGCGCTGATGTGGGCGTAGGCTGGTGTAGCAGCACCATAAATTGCAGGAGCTACAGAGTAAGCAGGATTGACTGCTGCTGCTGGCATTTCTATTCCTGGAGCAGCAGCCAGGTAGACAGCAGGATTGGCCATAGTCTGGGTGTACATTGGAGTTGAGTAGGCGGCAGCGGCAGCAGCAGCAGCCGCTGCTGGAGACGCAGCCACCTGGCCATAGATATTGGGCATTGAGTTGTATACCTGTGTAGCCCCTGATGTAAGAGCTGCTTGACTAGCCACCGTCCCATAGAGCTGACTGGCAACATTGGCACCATACACCTGACTGGCAAGAGCACCATAAACAGCTGGGTTCACTGGGTTTCCATCAGTACGTGTGCCAGTGGTAATCCCTGTGAGAGCTGCGTATGTCGGGTCAAAGGTGGAGGTGTTGTAGACTGAATTGTGCACGCTCTGTTGTACCTGTAGAGGTAAGCCGGCAGCTGCAGCGGCAGCAGCAGCCAGGACTGCTGCCTGACTCTGGTACTGCTCCAGAGAAGGTTTACCCACAGGACATTCTCCAGCGTAGTGGCCTTGCTTCCCACAGTTCACACACGGGATTTTCCCTGTAGGGGTCTGCTTACTGGGCTGGACCTTTGATAGCTCTACAGACAGGGGTCGACCTTTGAAGGAGGTGCCATGCAGAGCCTCAATAGCCTGAAGAGCATCTTCTTTATTTTCCATATGAACAAAGGCATAGCCTGCAGAAGAAAAGACAGTTCTCATGGTCATTGTCCATGTTCAGGCATTTTGGTTGTAGAAATGTACGTTCTTTGATTTTAAAATATTATTTTTTTTCCCCCAACAGGGCATTGGTTGCACCTCTTCATGAAACCTGTCTGAATGCAGTTTCAGCTCCTTTCTTTAAAAAAAAAGAAGAACCCTGATCTACTCTCATTAGTTAAAAATGGTACAAGACAGGATGACTTGCTGGAGTATATTCTTAGTCATCCAGGACATGGTAAATCCAAGAAAGAAAGGGAGACAAATTGTTTGTGCTAAATATATCTGGTACATTGCTAAGCTTAGTGCTAATAAGGTAATAATAATAATTAAAATGATAATACATTTTTTATATACCTTTGACTTTGTCACATTCAAGAACCTTCCCAAATGTTTGGAACAGCTGCTTAAGGTCTTCAGTGGTACACATCCCACTCAGATTACCCACAAACACTTTTGTGGAGTGCAACGGTCTTCCCCTCGACTCTTCCACCACCAAATTACGACCGCGGAACTCACGCCCATTGAGCTCTCGGATGGCTCGATCAGCAGCCCCCTCACCCTGCAGGTGTACGAACGCAAACTGTCGCAGCACGCTGCAGCTGACGACCTGGCCGTATGGTTCAAAGATGGCCGACAGCTCTTCCTGAGTGGTGTCCAGAGCCAGGTTGCCTACAAAGAGCTTCACTGTGTGGCTCTTATCCATGGCGCTGCAGAAAAAGACAAGAACAAACAAACAAAAAAAGAGTGTTGGAGTGCTTTTGTCAGAGCTTAAAACAGAGTGCATTCACGTATCTGGCGATGCTTGTGGATGACCTCATAGACTAAAGAGCCAAATATAAAGCACAAGGTAGACCGATAGCCTTCACATAAAAAAATAGCCACTTAAAAGTTGTATAGAAAAGTTATGAACTATATATTGACAGTCATAGATAGCTCTTAGAACTACTTCTGTTTGGAGATGTATATTTTACCATATTTTTCGGCCTATAAGTTGCAGGTTTTTTGCATAATTTGCATGCCCTGCGACTTATATGCCGAAGCGACGTATTTATGGATTTCCCCCCATATTTATAAACCAATTTTTGGCTGAGATATGACTGTTTTCATACATTCTGAATGAAAAAAATTGAATACTACCATTTTCAGCCACTAGATGGCAGTCGAGTAGTAAGGCATGGCATTGTATCATGTAATAGGTAAAAGTGGCTATTAAGGACACAATCGGCTTGCCAAAGCCTGCCATCATCGTCAACCTGGAGCAACTGAATCAGCTTCATTTCGCTGCGCCGTCCCAGCGAAATGAAGCTGATTTGACCGTCAAAGTGCATTTATTAAGTAAAAGTTCAACTGAGACCCACCTTTACTATACAGTCAAACAAACAAATAATCGTTTTAGGTGGTTATCTTGTTAAATTTCAAATAAATGGACAGCAAGTCGCCCTCTGTACATTCATGTTTTCACGTATCGGCTTTTGAAAATACAGCTGATTTGACTGTCAAAGTGCATTTATTAAGGAAACGTTAGACTGAGACACAACTTTGCTTTAATTTCAAGCAAACAAACAATTGTTTTTAAGTGTTAATCTGCTTAAATTCTTGTTAAAGTCCTCGTGTGCACACTCCCGTGGCCGCCATTTGGCAGCCCATCGATTTTTGGCACAACATTGGCCCACATTTCCGGGTTGTCTGTGGTGAAGCATAATAGATGCAACATATATGGCGAAGCGACGTATTTATGGATTTTTCCACTTTATTAGACATATTTGGACTGATGCGACTTAGGGCGGTGCGACATGTACGGCGGAAAATATGGTATGTCTAAAGCCCCCAGTATACTGCCGCGTACATCCATACGCAGAGGTACGTGCGTACCCCCCAGGGCATGTCCGTGCAAAGCTCCAATTTTTACGACCGCATACGCGTACGCGGTGTCGCACAATAAACTGCCCAGCGACAGACTGTTTCGTATGCGACACCAATGTATTATATTCCCCTTCTTCATCCCTGATCTGGCCTTTTCTTTTGTTTTTTTGTCAAGAGACAGTGATCTCTTCCTCCTCCGTTGATGCAATGACTGAAATGGTGAGAAATGAAGGAATTTGTCACGAGCGAATTAAACTCAGGTCCAGCGTGGCTGCGGGAGGGTCTGGAGATTTCCTGGTGGGCTGGTCTGATGTGTAAGCTGCAGAGCTAGCACTCCCTGTTTTTTTTTTTAGATCTTTTTATTAACAACATATAAACAAAGAACACCGCTGTGGCTGGCAGCGCTCGCTTTTTTTTATTTTTTCCGACCTGTCAATCAATCCAGTAGGCGTGTCAGCAAAGCGTAAGTGTCAAGGCCGTAAAACTCTACTGGATGCTCGTGATCTCCGGGCCCTTAAACGTCACTGCACCTCAAACAGGAATGCCACAGTCAAGGAAATAACAGAATGGGCTCAGGAATACTTCCAGAAAGCATAGGCAGTGAACACAATCCAGCGTGCCATCTGCCGTTGCCAGCTGAAACTCTACAGTGCAAAGAGGAAGCCATTTCTAAGCAAGCTCCACAAGCTCAGACGTTTGCACTGGGCCAGGGGTCGTTTAAAATAGAGTGTGGCAAAATGGAAGACTGTTCTGTGGTCAGATGAGTCACGATTTGAAGTTCTTTATGGAACACTGGGACGCCATGTCATCCAGACCAGAGAGGACAAGGATAGCCCAAGTTGTTATCAACGCTCCGTTCAGAAGCCTGCATCACTGATGGTATGGGGTTGCATGAGCGCTTGTGGCATGGGCAGCTTGCATGTCTGGAAAGGCACCATTAATGCAGAGAACTATGTTCAGGTTCTAGAACAACATATGCTCCCATCTAGACTTCATCTCTTTCAGGGAAGACCCTGCATTTTTCAACACGATAATGCCAGACCACATTCTGCAGCAATCACAACATCATGGCTACGTAGGAGAAGGATGCGGGTACTGAAATGGCCAGCCTGCAGTCCACATCTTTCACCTATAGAGAACATTCGGTGCATCATAAAGAGGAAGGTGCGACAAAGAAGGCCCAAGACGATTGAACAGTTAGAGGCCTGTATTAGACATGAATGGGAGAGCATTCCTATTTCTAAACTTGAGAAACTGGTCTCCTCTGTCCCCAGACGTCTGTTGAGTGTTGTAAGAAGAAGGGGGGATGCCACACAGTGGTAAAAATGGACTTGTCCCAACTTTTTTGGGATTTGTTGACGCCATGAAATTTGGAAACAGATTTTTCCCTTAAAATGATACATTCTCTCAGTTTAAACTTTTGATCTGTGATTTGTGTTCTATTCTGAATAAAATATTATTATAATTATTATAATTAAAATTAAATTGTATACAAGGTTTGACCAAAACAGCTTTAACCTTGTCCCTCCTCATAATAAATATGATAAAATTCCAAAAATGGGCAGAATCTCTCTTTTAATGCAGAAGAAGTGAGCCACAAATCATTAATCTGATTAAATGAAATGCTCCATCACACACAAGCACAAATGAGCAGGAAGAACATTATTCAAATTTCTCAGTAAACACGCAGGTCATTTGCCTCTGAGCTTTCCACAGACAGATGAGATAACAGCTGGAAAGATTTATGTGATCGGATTTATTTTTGCAGCGAGGACATTGTGATTGAAACCTTACAGATTTTAACCTCCTCCTCGTCGAGATCACCCTCACAACTATTAGTCACACTCATCCACAGGGGACAAAGGAAAACAGCAGAACATCAAGTTAGTAATTCATTCAGGGTATCTGCAGGTTTCAGCAAGTCAAATTTAAGACTTAAGACCTTTAATGCCACCATGAATAAAAATTTTAGACAGAAAAAAATATAAATATAGGGGATTGTATGTAACACAACCAAGCAGTGTGTCACTCAATGAGACATATTCAAGTTTAGTTTTTCTCAGTTTATTGAACATAAAGTGATACTCAGTGCTCTCTGGTTCAACATTTGTATGTACAAGTGCAGTGATTTGGTTGGAAACATCCAACAAAAAAAGACCTACTAAATACATTCATGGTATGAGGCTCATCTGTGTCTTTATCTCCAGTTTTGTCTTCATACACAAAGACGTTGCCCAGGCAACTGTTGATACATTTGCACCAACACATGATTTAGTAACAGAATAGCCAGTCGCCTCGAGTCACAGTCGGTTTGAACCATAGACTGGATTAAAAAAAATGCAAGTTCAGAATGCAAGGAAGAATCTGCACGCAACTCGATGCAAAACCTTTGAAAGACAGAGATGTTCTACGAGACATACCGTATTTCTCGCCCTGTATGTCGCATTATTTTGCATAATTTGCATGCCCTGCGACTTATACGCCGAAGCGACGTACTTATGGATTTTTCCCCCCGATATTTATAAACTAATTTTGGCTGAGATATGACCATTTTCATTCATACTGACAAAAATATTGAAAACTTCCATTTTCAGCCACTAGATGGCGCCAGAGTTGTATAGCATGTCGTTGTATCATGGAATAGGTAAAAGTGGCTATTAATGACACAATCGGCTTGCCATAGAATACCACCTTCGTCCACCTCGCCTGGAGCGACAGTCAAATCAGCTTCATTTCGTTGCGCCGTCCCAGCGAAATGCAGCCGATTTGACCATTGAAGTGCATTTATTAAGTAAAAGTTCAACTGAGACACACCTTTACTATAATGTCAAGCAAACAAATCACTATTTTAGGTGCTTAGCTTGTTAAATTTCTAAGAAATGCGCAGCGTTCCTCCTTGTTTCTAATTGTTTTTAATTGTTAATCTTGGTAAATTCTTGTTAAAGTCCGCCTGTGCACGCCCCAGCGGCCTCCATTTGGCAGCCAATCGATTTTTGGCACAACAATGGCCCACATTTCCAGGTTGTCAGCGGTGACACGTAACAAACGCAACGCGTCAGCGGTGACTAGGCCTGTCACGATAACAAATTTTGCTGGGCGATTGTCTCTGAAATTATTACAATAAACTAAAATATTGTTTGAAATTTGACATGAATTAGTAATTATTGTCAAATTTAAGAAGAAATGTTGGTTAATTTGTTTTGACTGTAGTACCTTTTTTGACCACCAGATGGCAGTATAAGACAGTTTGAACCAAAGGATGGATAGTGAGGGAGTGAGCAGCATGTTTCTTTAAGAAAAATGGGAGGCAGGCCCCCTTGATGTGACATGGGCTGTCTCATTAATTTTTTTCGGTTCTCAAAATGGCGGACGCTCTGTGTGATTTGAACTATTTAGCATAGCATTTTTCACACAAAGCTTTTAATAAAAAATAAAAAATCAGTAAACCAAGTCTTTCTTTTCCGAGAAAAAACAAATTTTTCACAAAGGGCTTGGGTTTCAACCATGAATTTTGAAGCTTCAACAAGACGGAGGGTTCCCCCCCCGAGGTCGGCCTGTTAGCTTAGCTCGTAGCTTAGCTTCTCAGCTTAGCTGCTTTAACGATCCACAAACGCGATTTTGTGCGGTTAAAACAGATTTTAAAGAGAAAGGGAGGGGTCAGTGAAGAGCACCGGAGTTGAGCTTTTTGTCATCCAGTGTCTTCAGTAGAAAGAGAGAGACATGAAGAAATGATAAAGCCGATAAACGAAAACGAGGTCGATAATTTTCATTTATCATGCGATTAATTGATTTATTGCGACAGGCCTAGCGATGACGCATAAGATGCGCCGTATACAGTGACCTATTTATGGATTTTTCCACTTTATTAGACATATTTGCACTGATGCGACTTATAGGGTGGAGCGACGTTTACGGCGGAAAATACGGTATATGAGATTAAAAAGTCCCAGGGATTAAAGCTGAAAAAAAAAATTGACAGAAAACTTTTCCGGTAAAACACCGTGTAGAATTGAGTTTTGAAGATATTTACGATAAATTACAAACACCTGAAACTGACTCTCACAGAGAGAACGTTGTAAGTTTAGGGAATAAAATTAAATTTAAACAGAGACATCTTTGGTATCATCTGTCTGGGGCATATACGTATTGGTCTTTTAGCAATAATATATAAGAACTAAAACAGCAGACAGCCAGCATCAATGTGAAAAACACTCAGCCTGAGCGCACATTCTCCCCCCCTCTCTCTCACAAAGACCAGAAGTTCAATCACATGTGCAAGTTGTACATGTCTGTACGATGATAAACACCATGAACACATTAACATTTATTACAAAGTTACACTTCTAGAAACAAAAGTCCCGAGGAGGTCGGAGAGACGGGGTGGGAGTAACAGTGCATCAGTTCTGGTATCTCCCCCGGCTGCAGTAAATTGGTCATGTGTGAACACATATGTTTAATAAGTAGACGTTTAATAACTTGTTACATTAATGCATTAATTAATGGAATAAGTTAATTAAGTAAGTTAATGTACATTAATTACCTTAATGCCCATCCCCCACCCCATTTAATTTAATTAGTTAGGGATTCAATTAGTGTAGCAGGATGTCCTAGGAAAATAGTCCAGGAAACACCGATTGGTGCTCTCACCTGCAGTCTGTCTCGAACAAGCCACCTGCTGTGGATCAGCCAGCACGACCCACCTGCTCTGCTCTGACCGGGTCAAACTGTGACTCTCGTTCTCTTCATTTGTTGGCCAGCTTACACAATTTTAATGAACTGAAGACATTTTAAGGCCTTAACATTAGATAGAATGAAGAACTTCAGAAGTTTTAAGGGTGCACTGACACCCTGCCCATTGATTTTACATGAAAGACATTAACTTATTGACACACAGAATAATGTAACAAATTGAACGAACGCTGACTCAGTTCTTTTTTTATTTTTGTACATTATTTTGCAATCTAACTACTTCTGGAAACTTCGTGCTACTTTAGTCACTTGTATTGAAACTTTTAACACCTTCAGGAAATGAGTGACGTAACTTTTTTTTGCAACTTTTACACTTTTCAAAATATTTAAATTTCACTTACAAGTGTTTTCCCCATAAAAATACGCTGCTATATCTTTATTTGTCCAAAATCCATTGTTGTCTTTGAAATATTCTTTAGCTTATTGCTATATTTTTGTCTTTTAAAGCTTTTAGTTTTTAGCTACACCTCTGCTACTTGTGCTTTTACTTATTGTTCTGTCTGTTTTAGCTTTTAGCTAGACTTTTTTTACTATTAGCTTCTAGCTAACAATGTGATACTATCAGCTACCATTTGGCTACTATAGCTTACCTGCTTTTAGCTTCTAACTATAATTTAGCTAATTTTAGCAAGGCTTTTGCTGCCGTTCACTTCTACATAGTCTTTTTGGACTCTTAAATAACCTTTTGATACTTAACTTTTAGCTAGCTTTGCTACTTTTAGATATACGTGTTTACTTTGAGCTTCTTGATAGCCTTGTGTTATTTTAGCTAGCCTTTTGATACTTTAACTTTTAACTAGTGTGTTAGCTGTTTTAACTAGTGTTTAGCTACTTTTAGATAGATGTTTTACATTAACTTCTAAATAGCCTTGTGATATTTTAACTAGCCTGTTGATACTTTAACTTTTAGCTTGTGTTTAGCTACTTTTAAATAATATTTTTTTTACTTTGAGCTTCTAGATAGCCTTGGGATATTTTATAGCCTTTTGATACTTTACCTTTTAAGCTACTTTTAGATATGTGCTTTACATTAACTTCTAGATAGCCTTGTGATATATTAGCTAGCCTTTTGATACTTTACCTTTAAACAAGCATTTGTTGCTTTTCTTTGCTTTGTACTGCTAGAATTTTGTTCCTTTTTAGCTTCCAGCTACTACTTGCTACTTTCAGCTTTTAGTTAGCCTTTTGCTACATTTAAGTTTAAGTTACCATTTTGATACTTCTATCTTTTATCTAAGCTTTTGCTGATTTTAGCTAGCTTTGTTTCTTTTATGGTGTAGTTAAGGCTTGTGAAGTTTGTAGCCATCACTTGCTACATTTAGTTTTTAGCTAGCCTGTTGCTACTTTGTTTTTGAGCTAACATTTTGCATACTTAAGTTAGAATTTAGCTTCTTTCAAGCTTTTAGCCACAACTTCCTACTTTTAGCTTAAGCTACAACTTTTTGCATGCGTTTCACTAACTTTGGCTTTTATGTAGCATTTTGATTGCTTTATATTTTAGCTTGTTTATACTTTTAGCAACCAAGTTTCAGCTTCTTCAGTGAAATAAAGCAAAGGATTTGAACTCCCTTCAGTCATCAAGGAGACTAAAACTGAAGATTTTCTTCTGGACACCTTTCCTTTTCCCAACTTAAACAACTTTTTATGGGTTGGGCTGTAAATCAAAAGGGCAAACGCAGAACATGTAACCAGAGGAGGACACTTCTATTTTCTGGTTAGGCTTCAGCTAGCTGCAGCTGAAGACCTCCACCAAAAGCTGCAGCTGCAAAAGATGCATTAAAGAAAAAAAGCTTTTTCTGTGTGAGAATGGCTGCTGCTTTATCAACACTGACTGGGCTCATTTTCAGGAATAATAACTAAAGAGGGGAAACCTGATTTCTGTCGACGCAGCACGACGCTGAGTAAACACATTTTCTCTGCTGCCGTCATTAATAATGTTTTTTAAAAAAGGTTTAAAACGAGTAAAATCAGTTATTAGACAGCTGTTTTTTTTTTAAACTGGATGTGAATGGAGAACTAAAAACGATGCTGGAAAGCAAAACAAGCCGCCAAGTGGAAATAAACGCAACATTCCGGACATTTAGCCCACCTCGAATAACCCGACAGCAAACATTAATAATCAATAACTAATAAGGGTGACTTATTTGCGATTATAGATCAAAACAATGAACGGACAATCACATTTTTTTCCGCGCAGCAGTGAATGCAGCGCAACACGAGCAACAACAACACGGTTCGGCAAGTCTGTCGCAAAAACGACAAAACCGTGAAGGAAGACTCACTTTTTAACACATATCGAGTTAAAACAACAACCATTCAACACGTTTGGTAGTAACAGAGCAGAAAGGAGCGGTTAAATGAAGGTATCTACCATCTTACCTAAGCGGTGCCGCGTTTCAAAATGGTAGCGCCTGCTTCCGTTTGAACGTCGGGCATTCTGCTGCTGCAGAGGGGGAGGAGGACTGCTGCTGCTGCTGGAGGAGGATGATGCTGAATCCTCAGGAAATAACTCCACTGCACCCTCACAAACCCCCTCAGAGTCCTCATCTACAGCCGATGAGGGCTGCCGAGCAGACACAGCTGCAACAAGCGCCGGAAAGAGCAGGGCGACCTAAATTATATGACGGTTTTCAAGCATTTTTCACACTCAAAACTTCACACTTCTGTGCTGAGTTCAAGAATCTTTATTTTCCCCGAGGGGAAATTTGCTTCACAGTCAGTAGACACACAAACCATCCATACTAGACATTAAGACAAATCATCATTGTTCGTTTTTCAGTCTGTTCATCCTACCTGGGCAGCAGATGCCTGCATCCAGATGGAAGCAACCTGAACTCACCATGGAGTGGGTGATCGGGATCTGCCAGAATCAGCCTAGCCTTGTTCACTGACCTCACCTTGTGTAGGTTGATTCAGACCACTTTTAATGGTGGTGATGTGAGGTCAAATATAGAATAAAGAATCCAAATGTCATAAATAATAAAAATGTTCCAGTGTCTGTTTAGCAATCCATCCACAAAGAATCAAACTTGGACAGATGCATTAGGCTGTCAAATGAACTTTATCTCGCATCCTATTCTGGCTTTAATTAAAGTCAAAACTCAGATTATTATGATGGAGATTCAAACAATTAATATCTCACCTGATGCAAATGGCTCTTTGATTGAGAAATAAAAGGCGCTGGCACATAAGGGTTGGTTTTCATTCGCCCACAAAGTAGTTCCTACTAATAAATAATGTATATGTATGTATGTATATATATATATATATATATATATATATATATATATATATATATATATATAAAATTTAGCAATGGGACCAGAACATGGAAGTTGAAGCCAGACAGAGAACTCGTCATAGTCTGGTCCAATAGTAGTTTTAGGACTCTTCCCCTCCATGCTAACACATGATCCTAGCTAGAAATAAAACTTTTTAAAAAAAATTACAGGAATTTAATAGTTTAAAGTTGTACAAAATTTTAGGTAATCGTTTTAAATTTTATTATGCCTTTGTGAAAATTTCACTAACAGTAAACTCAAAGAACAGAGCTTCAGTAATCTGATAATTTATTCTGCAAAAATAAACGCATACAGAAAGAAGACACATGTAGAGTCATAGACATCCAGGGGCATAAAAACTATTTAACGCCACAAAGAATATACTGATCATTAATGAGGTCAATCATCTGCAGCCATCAAGTTGCATTCAGCAGCACAAAAGGAAAAAAAAATACAATTAAATCATTTTAGGGAAATTCAATAATCTTATTAAGGCATCAGCAGAACAAGAAAAATGCTCAAATTTGGACAAATCGATGGAAAAAGAGCGTTACACGCACCCTGATGGAGCCATCACAGCCCACACATCCTAATATTGATATTTTCATCAACTGACAGTCAGTTCTTGTAATACATTCACTTTAACAAAAGCACTGCTCCCGTTAATTTATGGCTCTAAAGATGGCTGCAGCAGCAATTCATAAACTCAACGCTCAACGGAAAAATAAAAAATGGCAGAAAAGTGCAGTTGCTTTCCTATTCTGTTCATTTTCTTATCTTTTCTTCGAGCCACTAAATGAACTTTAGGTGAACAAATGAGTTCAGTCGCTTTCTGTTTCAGGTTTGGATGACGTTCAAAACAAAATCATTCAAATGAACTTAAGTACAAATGTGCTTATTTGTGAAGCTGTAAGTAAAAATCTGTGATTTTTTGTTTGTTTTTGGTACTCTAGATCCGCGTTTCCCCAACACTGGTCCTTGAGGAACACCATCCTGCATGTTTTAGTCGTTTCACTGCTACAACACACCTGATTCAGTGATTAAATTACTTTCTCAAGTTTTACAGAAGCCTGTTAATCATCCGTTCATTCAAATCAGGTGTGTTGGAGCAGAGAAGCAACTAAACCATGCAGGATGGTGTTCCACAAGGACCAGTGTTGGGAACCACTGTTCTAGACCGTGGCACATTTTCCAACTGACCATTCTGACCTTTACGGTTTTAGTTTTGGTCACAATAAGACAGTTTGTGAAGGCATTTTGTCTCCAATAAACCTTAAACCGGACGTGTGCCAGTGAAACATTAAAGGGCAAACTGAAAGTGTCCCTCCGAAGCTTAACGGAATACGTTCACCCACACTGCAGACGGCTTTGGTTCTGTTGAAACCTCCAGAGTACAAAACTGTGAGTGCAACGTAATCCGATTTTAACAAGTTCATTTTTCTGGAAACCTCAAGAGCTCCCGTTCAAGTTTTAAGCTCCGCCCCCCACAGTCTACACAACGTTCCTCCACAGGGCCACCTCTCCAAGTCTGTGTCCGAGAGTCAGAGGTGCGCTGAAGGCATGTCAGGGTTGGCCTTGCTCCGGCCTTCCCCGGCTATCGGCCGGTCTCGCTCCTCCCACAGCGTGACCCCGTCGCAGGCGCAGATCTTCTTGGGGTTTTGGAAAAGTCCCGCTGATCTGGCAATTATCCCACAGGCTAACCTGCATAGCAAAGGTGCAGATAAATTACTGAAATTGTACCCCAATACAAAAATAAGTACCATAATTTCCACCATACACATCACACTGCCCTATAAGTTGCATCAGTCTAGATTTGTCTAATAAAGTGGAAAAATCCATAAATATGTTGCTTCACTATATACGTCGCATCTATTATGCGTCACCGCTGACGCGTTGCGTTTGTTACGCGTCAGCTGTGACAACCTGGAAATGTGGACCATTGTGCCAAAAACCAATGGGCTGCCAAATGGCGGTCGCATGTACGGGAGGACATTAACGAGAATTTAACAAGATTAACACTTAAAAACAATTATTTGTTTGCTCAAAATTATATTAAATGTGTGTTTCAGTCTAACTTTTCCTTAATAAATGCACTTTGACAGTCAAATCAGCTTTATTTCAAAACCCAATACGCAGAAGTAAACGCGTGCACGCGACGAGTCGCTGTGCAAATTTAACAAGAGAAACACCTAAATAATTATTTGTTTGCTCGAAATTATAGTAAATGTGTCTCTCAGTGTAACGTTTGCTTAATAAATGCACTTTAATGGTCAAATCAGCTGAATTTCAAAAATACTTTTGCTGCTGAAGTGCTCCCGGGAGCGTGCGGACAGGGAGGAAAAAAAAAGGAGGGAGGAACGCTACTTGTATAATCGAAAATTAACAAGAAAAGCACCTAAACAATTATTTGCTTGCTCGAAATGATAGCAAAGGTGTGTCTTACGTCTAACATTTGCTTAATAAATGCACTTTAATGGTCAAAGTAGCTGCATTTCGCCGGGGCTGTGCAGCTGGTTTTGACGGTTCCAAGTAGCGAGCAGAACAAAGGTGGGGAGTCTTTGGCAGGCCGAATGTGTCATTAATAGCTGGTGAAGATTCTCAGTCATCCAGGACATGGTAAATTCAAAAAAGTTCAAGAAAAAAACAAGAAAGTATAATAAATAAAGTCCAGTTGTTTTTGTTTTGAACTTTTTTGTATTTGTCATTATAGCCACGTTTACCTATTACATGATACAACAACATGCCATACTCCTATTACTACTCTGCTCCCATCAAGTGGCTGAAAGTGGTACTGCTCTTCTTCTTCTTTTTTTTATTTTTTTCCCAGTAAAAGTGAATGGAAATGGTCAAATCTCAGCCAAAAATTGGTTTATAAATATGGGAAAAAAATTCATGAATATGTCGTTTCTCCTATATATTAGAACGTTGGGAAGAGTCAACTTGTAGTTTCCTCTTCCCAACGTTCTAATTTTGAGTCTCTGAGTTTTGGCTTTTCATTACCTGTCAGCCATAATCTTCACAATTACAAGAAAAAAGGCTGGAAATATTTCACTGTGTGTAATGGATCTATGTAATAGTTTCACTTTCTAAAATGACTGACAATAAAAAAGATTCATGATGTTCAAATTTTTTTGATATACAGTAGTCCCTCACTACTTCGGGGTTCGTTTTTCACGGACACGCTCTCTATTGCTGTTTTTCAAAATAAGATCGACACACAATTGGCTGATTGATGGATGAGCCGCATGATGGGCATGGATTTTTTATTAAAAATAAATTATTTTTTATTATTTAGCACCTGCGTGCAGCCCACAGCTGCAGGAGGAAGCTTCTCCTGCAGCGTGTCATATCTCCGCTCTGCAGTGGAGAAGTGGGCGTGGCCAAGCGTTTAGAGCAGGGAAACAGCAGGGAGCAAATTACAACAAAATTATGAAATTTAACTGTGCCCAAAAAATCTCTCACGAAGATAACCCAGAATATCTCGTAAGATGACAATATTAGAATTAGAAGCTTCTGACAGAAAATAATAAATTTGTAACTAAATAAACAAACAAAGCAAACAGCCGAAACTTCACGTACGCACCTTTCACCAGAGTTTCCTGTTTGTTTAGATAAAGGGTGGCTGCCCCGACCCAGGTCATCCTCTCCTGCATCAACAACCAGAGATCGACCAATAACATCCCACACCTGCCGAACAAAGGCATGCTGTTACCCTCCATCAGGACCACACATGTCTCCGTGTGTGTGTATTTTCATCTTACCTTAACCTGAGCATCCTCTAATCTGAACGAAGCTCTGCCGTCTGGTCCAGCCACAACGTTCCCCAGGTCACCTACATGCTGTAAGAAATAGCACATGTGCAAACCAGTACAATCACCATGGGACATCATGGCACAAACATGATGTGACGAACTGCAACGATAGAAAATAAAGAGAATGTAGGAAGGATGGAGATTCAGACAGAACTCACGTTTGAATCTCTAAAATCAGCTGATTTAAAGTATGACAGAGTAAGGGCCGACATAAATAAAATTAGTAAAAGGAGCTGGTGGGCGGGGCAGTTTCTCAGGAAGTTTAATGTTACTGTCATATATTACAAAAAAAAAAAAAAAAACTTGGGATATTCATTTCTTCATCAATTTTGTGAGTCTTCCTTAAAAATGTATGTGCTTCATGTTATCTAGATGCTCTTCTTGCAAGTTTACAGCTGTGTGACTTTTAATCTCACAAATTGTGAAGTGTTGTTTTTAAATCATGGAAAACTTGACTTTTCTTGCAAACTTGTGATTTTTTGTTAAGAGAATAATTCACATAAGAGAATTGACAAGTTTATTCACATCAATGTCAGAATATCTGAGATTTTTTCAGCATTTTGGCTCATCCACCGGCACGTTACAGTGATTGTGTAAATGTTTATGAAGCATTCACACTATTGTGATCCATTTTTATTGTTCCACAATTTTTGTGCTTTTTCAACATATATATAAAAATGTTCAGCTGGTTCAGGAGAAGGTTGCAATGAATTTTGATATTGGTGCATCTTTAGCTTTTTGAAATATTTAGCCTTTTCTGCCACTTTTTCCTCATAGAAAATGAACTGAGCTCATTTTCCATCCTTCAAATCTTCAGATGTTTTTACAACATTTTACTGCTCCTTTCACATTTTCTTCTGATTCAGCTGCTTTCAGCTTCCTTGTGCAAATTTTAATTTTTTTCCAGCAACTTTCAGCTAATTTAAGCAGCTATTCTGCTGTTTTCTGATCCTTTAGATTATTTCTGCTAACTACATTTTTGTGCTTCTTCTTACTTATTTCTGCTAATATCAACTTATGCTCCTTTCAGTTTATTTAGGCAAGTTTCAGCTTCTTCTGCTATTTAAGGTACATTTGAACTGTTTTATGCTAATTTTAGCTTTTTTTTTTTGTTAATTCCACAATTTTTTGCAATCATTTAAACATTTTTCAGCCTAATTCAGCAAAAATGTGCTCTCTTCACTTCTTTCTGGTAATTGAAGCTTATTTCTGCTTTTTTAGCTACTTTTTAGCATTTCCCCCCTAATTTCAGCTTTTTTCAGATAATTTGTTTGTGCTCATTTCTGCTTCTTTCAGACTAATCGGGCAAACATGTTCTTTCTGCTTTCTTTTGCTAATTTCAGCTTTTTCAGCTACCTTTTTAGCATTTTTTTTTAGCTAATTTCAGCCGTTTTCAGACATTCCAAGTTTTTTTGGTCTGCAATTTTTTAACTTAAATTATTTCTGCTAATTTCAGCTTGTTATGCTCCTTTAAGCTTATTTCAGCTAGTTTTGGTTATTTCAGCTACTATTTAGCTGTTTAATGCCAATTTTAGCATTTTCAGCTAATTTCACATTTTTGCAATAATTTTAACTTTTTTCAGCCTAATTCAGCAAAAATGTGCTCTTTCCACTTCCTTTTGGTAATTTAAGCCTTTTTCTGCCTTTTCAGCTATTTTTCAGCTTTTTTTTGTTTTGTTGCAAATTTCAGCTTTTTTGTGCTAATTTCCTCATTTTTGTGATTATTTCTGCTGACATAAACCTCATTCAGAAAATGTGTTCTGCTTTCTTCTGCTAATTTAGTCTTGTTCTTCCATTTCAGCTACATTTCAGAATTTGTTTAAACTAATTTCAGCTGTTTTTCAGCAAGTTCAGCATTCACACTGCATTTTCACAAGAAATGTAATTTATCTAGTTTATTTGCTATACAGTCTATAATAGGACGTCATAGTGATCAGTCTGTCATGATGCCCACGTTGAAAGCTAAACAATGGTACAAGAAGTCATGAAGCTTTAAAGAAGAAAGAAGTACCCTTTCAGAGTCAGCTGGGCCTCCATGTTGTTTATTAAATGGATTGAAGTGTTCGCCACAACTGCAACAAAAACAAAGTTTTATTATGCCGTTTTGGCCGACCTAATGCAAGTTTTGTCACAGATGATGTCATTTCCTGTTACTAGAACAGAGAAATGTTTTAGCAGTGGAGCTACAAATGAGATGGCAAACCTCCCTGGTTCCACTTTTCTGTTGTAAAGTTGTGCTTTTCTCTACTCCTGACCTTCATTTGACTCCGTCACTGCTGATGAATTACACCAGGACTCCGTTTTTATTTTTGACGGCTCGCTGCTTTTCACATCCCCAAAGACCAGCAGCTTCCTAAAAGATTTCCATTAGTCCCATGAGAGTCCAGCCCTGAAGCGCTCCCCCTATCTGAAACCCACTGAAACATCTGATGCAATACGACGACGACTGTTAACAAAATAAAAATAAACTGCTAACAAGCTAACAGGGAATGTTTCACTTTTAAGTTAAAGGCCTTTCATACACTGAAGGGAAACACACTGCCAGACACTTCAAAATAAAACAAGTTCTCAAGAGTTTCAATAAAATCCATGCAGTTTGTGACTATTTTTAGTAACAGACAAACAAAAAGTGTATGCAAACAGGCAAAAACACTATCGCCCATCATATGCCAGCAAGCTCTAATTATACCAAGTTTTCTCTGATTAAAGAAAGGTAACAATAAAAAGGTTGGAGCTCCATTCCTCTAATATTATTACAACTTGAAATAAAATTGACCTTAAACTCAGTTTTATAATGCGTTTGATTCGAATAGAAACAAAATATCGGCTTTAAAAGACGCTCTCCACCCTCTGGTTTCTGCTTTAAATCTTAAACATCATGTCTTATTTTAGAACCGTTACATTTTGCTAATTTGATCTTCTCCGTTTTTTTTTTTTTTTGGTTTTCCTGCGTAACAAACATGCGTCGGCGCTCGGCAGAGGATGCTCAACCTGCAGTCCAGCCTGATCAAGCTTCCCTGAAACAACAGCCCCACCTGAGGCAGTCCTGCGTGAGATCCCCCAGGGCGTGGACGTGGAGACCGTGGGGCCCGGGCTCCAACCCGTCCACCGTCCCATCGATCAGACAGAGTTCCTCAGAGAGCTGCAGGAAGCGCACCACACCCTGAATCGATCCTGCTCCAGACAACATGGCCACGGCTGCACCCAGGTCTGTTACAAACACACACAGGACGGAGAAATCATAACGGATGTGTAAAGACAAATGTACACAAATAAATAAATAAATAATAAAAGCACACTCACATAGTGGACCAACCAGTTTGCTGGTGATAAGATGGTTTCTGGGGTCCGCCCTCTCCCGACTCCTCTGAGGCAGCCAGAGCCAAAGTGGTTCAAAACGTGACCTGACTGAACTTTGTTGGATTTTCTTCCTGGATTACTGAGCATGAACTTTGATGCTTTTAGCCACTTTAGCTATAGCTGTCTCAGAGGAGTCAGGGGAGAGGGCGGGCCCCAGAAACCATTTTATCACCATCAAACTGGTACCATTATGCAAGCGTGCTGCTTGTGGGACTGAGTTTGTTGTGGCTCCTCTGACTGATGAAATCCTTGGGATGAAGGACAAAACGTCTCAACAAAAAAAGCAACCATCCAGAGAACCTGACTGAACTTTGCTGGATGCTCAGACACTGTAGACCAAGTGGTTTCCCCTGCCGTTATACAAGCGGGGTGCCCCGCCGCGTCAACAGAACCGAGCTGCGCGCACCCCCGCCCCACCCGTCTGCACTGACCTAACTCCAAATTAGCAGCGCGCTAGCTAAAATGCTAAAAGCGACGTCTGACCGGCTCAAAAACTGTTGGGACAAACAGCTCAGCTCAGACGTCTCCGCTCACGCCTTCAATGCAGCGTAACCTGCTGCGTGGTGGGATGACATATTTATGTCATGAAATTAGCATATCATGATATCATTTATTTTCCCGGGCAAGTTTTTTCTTTTTTACCGGTGTTATCGTGAACGATATGATATGGCCCAGCCCTACCACTACATGTACCACATGTGATGCGAATGACAAATAAAGAATCTCTGACTCTGACTTCTGGCCGCCAGCGCCAGAGTTTCAAGCATTTCAAAAATGCTAATAGTCATGATGAGTGAACTGTAAAGCTGGATTTTGATCTTTGATTCGTGTGGGTGTTGTTGGTAAATGCACAGAAGAGAGGTATGTAGAGTCACGGTCACAACTTGTTCTCTTGTTGGCCCTCACCTTGCTCCAATCCCCCGATGCCCTTCAGCACGGCTCTGTAGCCGGTGCTTTCGATCAGAGCCTGGACTTCGCTGCTGGTCAGAGCCGACTCCACCAGAACCTCCTCTTTACCCACGTCGACACTGACAGACCTCACTCCTGCAGACACACCACGGCAAACGTTACGTCACACAAAGAAATGTCCCTCGTCCTTTTGTCAGGTCTACAAGGACAGCTGCCTCTTGTTCTGTGCTGTTTGTAAACGGTGAAAGTATACCTGTTAGCACCGTTAGCTTTTAAAATAAAACTAGCATTCTTACAAGGAATGCATACCACATGCCGCTTTGCATTACGTTTTAAATATTATGTGCTCTCAGTATAGTCTCAACGATTGGGGGTTAGTCTCTGCTACAAACACACCAAATGTTAGCTCAATATCTGTAAGACTGACCGAGTTAGAGCGACGTTCTTCGCTGTGACAGCTGTGCTGAACTGGGCTGACTCCAAAAGTTAATCAGGTGTAGATGCACATCTAAATACTTCCAATAGTTTCATTAAAATCCATCACGTGGTTCATGATAGTTTGCAAACAGACAAACAGAGTCGACTCCAATTGAATTAAATTTACTCTGTGAATTAAGTTGTTTTTTTTGGTTCAATCTTAGAAACTTCATTAATGATTATCATTCAAAATTGGGCAGCTCACTGAGACAAATGGGACTAAATGTGTTGTATTTCTCTGCATTAGTAACAAAGAATACATCAGATTAAATCAGTACGGCGTGAGGCGACAGTGCAAATAAAGGTGCAACTGCAGGGCAGAACCAAAACAGAAACGGATTTTCGTGTATTCTGACACTTATGGATGTGTATGTGTGTGTATATATATACATGTACATATGCATATGTATATACATGCATGCTACTGGATGTCTCAAAATTTCCCCTGGGATTAATAAAGTATCTATCCATCTATTATTGCATGCACATATATACATTTTAAAAAGCTGTTTTATAGGTGTAAATGACAACATAGAACTGCTATGCAATAAAAACATGAACAAACGAGAAGATACTTAAACAACATTGGAGTAAATAAATGATCCCAAAAGCAACTGAGCCTTATGGTGCGTTCTGTTTACACCCAAACGTCGGAATTTCTGGGTTCAAAAACAGAATAACACTTTTTATTTATTTTCACTTCGTTCAGGTTGCATTAACCACTTTAAGCTAACATGTTGGTACAGAGGGTTTGAATCTCTGAATGCGAAAAAAACAAAACAAACAACTATTTATTTACTTGTTTTGCTAATGATAGTTAGCCTAGTTAGCACACCCATGGCAAGTCACCGGTTTTTCGACTGTCAGATGTCCGAGGTAATTGAAACGCAGCATAAGACACAACAACGCGGATTACATTTAATTTTTTTTATCCTCCTCACCTGGTTTACCCTCCAAAGCTGCTCGAACTTTCTCCCCACAGCTCTCACATGTCATCTGCACCGCAAACTCCAGCTGTGGAGGACAAACCTGACAATTAAACACTTGCTACTAGATTACCATAACTAACCCATAGCCACTGCTGTGGCGCTTTAGCGCAGCCCGTTATTTTCAAACAGCGCAGGATGAATTTATATTAATCATATTTCTGGTTTTAAAGCTGTAAAACAGCGTTGTGAATAAAGTAAATACTATATTAACACCTCGTGAATAAACTGCCAAACCTTGGTTGGACGGTCCGAATCCATGTTGAGGCTAAAGGTAGCCGCCTGGGCCACAAAACCGGACTTAATCAGAGTATTTCCCAGTTTTTTGGAAACGGAAATGAACCTAGAGATGATTGTAGCCGCCATGTTTGAATAGGCGTCGTTGCCGCGCGGTGCTGCCACCATGTGTCCACTCTCCGGTACTGCAGAAAGACACAACTAATGCTTCTGTTTAGAGTTAGCATCTGTATCTGCTGATTCTGCTCCATTTAAAATAGCATGTGCTGTTGTTCGTTTTGATACTCTTTACAATTTTACCGGATTTGGAACAAATAGATAAAGTCTATTCTATACTCTTTGAGTGCCTCATTAAAATTTATTCAGCGGTTCATGAGATATTTTGCTAACAGACAAAAAGTGTTAACTCCCACATTTCATGCTGAAGTTTCAAGCCAAGACCATGCACCATGTGTAACCCTTGACATATGTGTTGTGGATCACTCTCAGCTACTATCACTCTAGGTTTTAGCACAATATCTGTAAAACTGACTGTCTTATTGTCATTTCTTTGTTTTTAAAGTCTTTTGGAGTGAGTGTTAGCCGTTACAGTTGTCCGTCTTCTCTTTGTGTTGGACTTGTGATGGACTGTCCAATATATTGTTACAGGGGGTAGAAAGAAAACACCAAGCAATTCTCGACAAATCAGAAAATGTTAGAGGTAGAAGTCCCACCTGGAACGTTCCCATTGGCCTAAATAGTACTGATGTTCCCCCTGGAATAATGTTAAGCCCCTTGTTTGTCAAAAAATACAAAACAAACACTACTGAGTGTTTGCTTGGTGTGAGTCGAGCAGAAAATAAGTTGTACTCTTGTTGTGTACTTTTACTACATATTTACAGAAAACCAAAAGTATACTTTGTTTCCAGATGTTGAATGATGTGGGGAAAAAAAACAAGTATATGCATTTAGTTAATAAATATAATTTCTTTGCTTCATTTATGTCTTATTTGAGATGGAAACAAATATTTACTGTGACAAAAAAAAAAAAAAAATGACACAAGAAAAGAAACTAAATGATTCATACTTGGCAGAAAGTTCCTCAAAACAACAACAAAGACCAAAATATAAGTTTGAAGTTTGTAAAGAGTACCTTTTTTTTTTGGAAAATTTACAGATTTACAAGAAATTACATATTCCATATTACAAGCGTCTTCCCATTTTCCAGTCGTTATCAATTGCGGTCATTTTCAAATTTTACAAAATACATTTATTTACTGAACACTCATACAAACTGATAGAACATTCTTCTTCGTTTTCACTCAGCTTACATATATTCCCAAGAATATCATAGCATTTCAATAACCTAAAATAGTAAATAACTATATACATCAGAATCAGGGGAGCTAACAAGGAGAAAAAAGTAAACAATAATAAAAAGGGGAGAATTAAAAAAAAAAAAGGAAAACAGCATTGTAAATATAATTACTTTTTCACTTTTTGGTACTTTTTTTTGTACCCTTATTGCATACTTTAGTATTTCTTGTTTGTTTGTTGTTTGTTTTTAGTGAGTCAAATTGGTTCTCATCCTGAACATTTCATTGTACTGTTAACCACCTGCATATGACAAATAAACATAACTTGAATTTGAACTTGAACATTGCAACATGCACCAGTTGGGGGGGAGAAGTCATGACAGAGAAGTTATAATAATCCAGTTGCATCGGATGGACATCAATGCCTGATAAAAATTTGGAGTCAGTTAATTTCAAGATGGCCGTCACAGTAAGTTTAGACGAACTAGACAGAAAGCAGAGTTCAAACTCATTGTATTTTGTAATCTGAATTTGATTTAAACTCTTTACAGTCACTATAATCAATCCTGTTCATCAATCTGTTTATTTTAATGGAGAAAATATCACATTTTATAACATCAGCATTAAATCATATTTGGCATCTTTTGAGAATTTATTTAAAACAATAATTTAAATCAAAATAACTGAAGGAAATGGGAATTCTGGCATAAAAATCTGGTTTTGAATCTTTTTTGTGTGTCTCGTTTCTACATAGGTTGGGGTTTACCTGTTAAAACCCTTCGCAATGAAACTTTTTGGCTTTATCTATGTTCTTTTATTTTTGTAAAATAAAAAAGTCCCTATGAAAAACTGGCCAGAGCTTTTGTACGCTGAGTGATTATCAGTTACCAAAGGCTAGTGTATATTGTCACTCATCCAGGACATCACGATCCAAGGTACCAACCAGTTTGCATGCATCAGGACAATAAGTTCAATAGTTTTACATGAAATTAAAAAAAGATTGAAATGACACAGAAAATAGACCAAACTGCCAACAGCCTTTAAAAAGCAATCTTGAAAAATTTCCACGTGACATTTTTTAAGTTTTATGAAACAGTATCCACAGGAACTGCTCTCAAAATGTTGTAATACGAGTTGTTTTCAAGACGGCGGTCTCAACTTTGCTCACACCAGACAATAGTTCGTCAATCTTTTCAGAATTAAACTCAATTTGTCCAAACAGACGTCACTCAAACAGTCATCCACAACAGGTAAGATATTAATTGTTTATGACCTTTCCACAGAACCCCACTCCAAGTGGTCTGAACTATTGCTTTAACTTTCATCTTTGTAAAACAAGTGCACAGAGTTTATTTATTTTAATTTATTTTTTACTTTAAGTTGATTTTGTTGCAAAATTTCCATGAAGACCCATAAAAGAAGAACATCCTGTGATGGGTTTTATTATTTACTGAGACAGGTTTTGAGAAGTGGGATAAACCATGCAGAAGAATGTTATTGCTTATTAGCAAAGTCGAACGAGTGTTAATGTTTTTCCCAGTGTCTGTGGGTTTGTCTTGTTAGCAAAATATCTCAGAAACAACTAAACAAATTTGACTGCCACAGATGTGCAACGAGGCAAATATAAAACTTAATTTAACTCAGCTCATTGGACCAATCAAGGTGTGTTGGTAGCTGAGAGTCACACTCAACTTGTGCTCGGCGTGCTAACTGGTTAAATAAAGGTTAATAATAATAATAAATGATCACACAAGTCTTACTTTCAAAACTTTTCCTTTACCCGTTGAACTTAACTGTTTGTCTGTTAGCAAAACTGCTCATGAATCAGTGGATAGATATTAATGAAACCCTAGGAAATTATTCACTGGAAGGACATCTACAACTGATTACGTTTTGAAGAAAACCTAATTCATGATGGCCGCTACACCCAACGGACATCAGTTAAAACATTTTGCAGTACAGCCAGCTTTACTATTATAATAATAATGCAAAATAATAAAAAGCTTTTGACCTAAAACTTGGTGTGGTTGTAGCTGACAGTCATCCTCAACACGTAGTCCAAGCTCTAGACGTTGTGCAAGATCTTTGCTTAAAACTTTGACATTAACTAATCGTTCTGTTTGTCTGTTAGCAAAATATCTCATGACACTCTTCAGCTTTTTGCTGTCTTGACCTGTGAGTCTTTGTCAGATCATCTCTCTATATATCTTCTGAATTGTAAATCATGGATCTGGTCAGCTGGTCTCTCAACACAATTGATAATTTTTTTCTCAACAAGAAGACATGGTGAAAGAGAGCCCTCATGACCTGAAGGGACAAATTCGGAAAACGTCAGCAGCAGATCTGGCAATTTTGAAGCTGCCTGACTTGTGTGATGGAACGTGCCGCGCTTTGAGTGCCCAGACTCAGATGCTTTTTGAGCTAAGCCGTAAGCTGGATGTGATTTCTGAGAGTTGCAGGCCACTTGCGGCTTCTGGAACTTGCTGGCATGAAAGATTCAGCCTTAGGGAAGGCTACAAGCATGGCCCGGCAGAATGACCACAAAATTTGACTGTTCGGATTCGCCATTGTGAAGTACCAACAGAACTTTTTGAAGGCAGATAAGAGTTGCATTCGGTCCCAAAAAAATCTGACCCATCCCAGCTCCAGTCCGTAGTTATTATTTCCGAACCCCACCTGACTCGACGAGTTAACAGTAATTACAGGTCTGAACCCGAAAAAAAAAACCTGACGTTTTTAATTAAGCTTTGACTGCTTATATAGTTATTAACGGTCGCGGACATGCGCAGTGAAGGGGGCAGAAGATTGGAGCTGATGGGGTGCTTGTCCTTTCATGTCCATCAAAGCGCTTCTGCTTCTGCCTGCATTCTGCATTATTCAGACATGGACCCTGCTCTGACATGTCAGATATTTGGAGATCTCACCTGTTTGGGTCGTCGGGTGCGTGTGCCGCTGAGTGCAGCTGAATCTTTTTTTAAATTCCACCACCACCTTCTAAAGGAAAGAACAAAAATGTCTAATTTGTTTGAATGTCTTACTTTACTTTGAACTTTATTTTAAAGCTCTTTCAAGGCCGGTCAGCACATGGTCAAATGGCCGCGTGCGGCAGGTGAATGTATGGCAAGCCAAGTTGCCATATAATTGGATCGTCAACCGCGTGCATCCGTTGACGCAATAAAAAACCCGATACCGGCCTGGCCTGCACATTACGCACATTATTATGGCCCAGCCCGGCCCTAATCCGGGTCGGGTCGGGCTCCGGGTTTGGGTTAGAAATGACAGCTCTAATGCAGACATAAAAAATCAAGCAGTCTGCCTGTCCCAAAACAATTGTTATCAAATCTGTCTTCCATACTTGGCCTGGAATAGGCCAGCTATCTCAAATTTCTCCCAGAGGTTATGTGAATAATGACGCTCTGCTGCGGCGGTAGCTGAGAGTCATTAGCAACACATACGCTGAGTGCTAATCCACTTTGTGAGACCTCGCATGCTATTGTGCGTAACGCAATTTTCAACTTCTCACCAAAATGGGTGTAACGTTGTCTGCCATGAAAATCAGCAGGCCTTGAAGGAATGCAGAACTTTTAGCTCCGTCAGCCAAATAAGAATTATGAGATTGTAGATAATGTGGAGTTAAAATCTGACAGGAGAGTCTGAAACAAACAGTGCTAAATCAAACTTCCTCCAACTAAACATGATCTTTATCTGCAGATAACGGTGCACATTCCTCTCTGAGCACACTCTCCGGTGTGTGTGTCTGCGTGGAAACGTCTCGACACCAGAGCGACACAGAGAGGCGGATGTT